AAGGACCACTATAGTGCCAGGAAAACAAACTCGTTTTCCTGGCCCTATAGTGACCTGAGGGTGCCCCCACCCTCAGGGCCCCCTCCCGCCGGGCTAAAGTTGGAGGAAGGGGTTAAACACTTACCTTTCTCCAGCGCCGGGATCCCTCGGCACTGGGGACTCTCCTCCTCCTTTGGACGTCATCGGCTGAATGCGCATGCGTGGCAAGTATTCATGAAAATCACAGTGAGAAGCCCGGAAGCGCCTCTAGCGGCTGTCAATGAGACAGCCACTAGAGGCTGGATTAACCCATATGTAAACATAGCAGTTTCGCTGAAACTGCTATGTTTATTGCAGGCAGGGTTAACCTTAGAGGGACCTGGCACCCAGACCACTTCATTGAGCTGAAGTGGTCTGGGTGCCTATAGTGGTCCTTTAAAATCACCCGCATATCATGCCTATCATGTAGGTCCACCTCAAGCTCCCAAAATAGCTTTGATGCATCGAGGCATGGACTTCATAAAACCTATAAATATGACCTGTGGTATCTGGCACTGATTGGTTAATTTTTGCACCCTTTTGGTTCATCTGATTTGTTTCCTTTATCAGTTTCAGTTTTAGTACCACATTTCTGCTGAGCTAAATTGACATAAGGCTAAAAATGAGCTGTTGCGGAAAGATTTTTATTTTTAGGAAAATGGTTTAGCCAAACAGAATTTTCACACAAGTTTATTAGATTTACCCTGCAGTGATATCAGCACATTGGTTGTAGGTAGTCATAGGCCTCATGGTTACAGAGAGCCATGGTTACCCACTAAGAAAACCAGAATTTCATATAATTATACACATTATGTAAAATATAGCACACATGGGAATCATTGTGGGATGACAGCAGGATCCCAAATAGGCTGTCCAATTGTGCAATCATCTTTGTTAGGTCTTGTTGCTATGCACAATGTAGGGGGAAAATGTTGTGGCCAAAAGACAACAGAGAGATGAGCTTCAGTGAACATGACAGAAATACTTTCTAGCTGAAGTGCCCTTTAAAGATTTACCTGAAGAAAGGAATATAACCTATTTCTTCCTCGTCATCAGGATGGCCCTCAAATCTATAGGACCATCCAATCCTTGCTCCCTCTGCCATAAATATTAGTCATGCCTAAGCAAAAGAATACTGAGAACGGGCAGCAGCTGAAATAGCCTGAACTTTGGTGGGTCCCCACTCAGATCTCAAGCTGGTTTTAGCTCATCGTGTGCCATTACAGAGGGAACATCTCTAAAACATATCAGACTGGTCCCACCCATATGGGCAGTCCAGATCTGAAATGCCAGCAAGTTCCCTCTGCAAGAGATACACAGCAACCCCAGATGATCGTTTCAGTCTAGTTAGGCATCATCAGTGAGGCATAGCTGACATATCTATAGGCACCATGAGCAAGGGGCCCATGTCTGGATTACCCTTTAAACTTGTGGAGAGCAAAAAACAGGGCACAAGAGAATACTCAGAATGGCATCAGCTGAAATAGCCTGGCCTCTGGTGGGTCCCTGCTCAGATCTCAAGCTTGTTTTAGCTCATCTTGTGCCATTACAGAGAGAACATCTCTGAAACATATCATACGGGTCCCATCCATATGGGCAGTCCAGATCCGAAATGCCAGCAAGTTCCCTCTGCTCGAGAGACACAGCAACCCCAGACGATCATTTCAGCCTTGTTAGCTATCATCAGTGAGGCATAGCCCCCAAGTGAAGTCATAACGTGGTGACATCATACGCATTACCATATCGACACGTGAAGCTCCTTTGTCGCTATGGGAATGATGCATGACAGATTATTAAGTGCCTTTTACACAAGCCAACATGAAGTATTATTTAAAATAAGGGTGATGAACATGGGTGAAATAGATATACTGTGAACAGAGAGACCTACTTAGAGTTCTATATAGCATATAAATAAACCGTGTGTATAGCTTGTAGCATGGAGTGTAAATTTCAGATATAAATAACACAAAGCTGCACTTTCAAGATTCTTAAATCATGAACGTATTAGAAAATGCCAATTGAAAAATGGAGTGTCTTTTATAATGTACTGTGACTATGTAAACATAACAGAATAAAGTGCTTATTGTATAAAGTGCACTTATTTTTAAAGTGCAATAGTCCTGTCAAGTGATGTTATAAAAAAGTGCAAATAGTATTTAAAGTGCTACTATAGAAAAGTGCTACAATTTTACAAAGTGCTTCCATTTATAAAGTAATATATTCATTGTAAAGTGCATGCTTATATAGTGACTGAAATTATTTACATGACACTCTACAAATAATCACTTCATTTTTAAAAAGACAATCACTAGAGATAAGATACATCTAGTGTATTAAGATTCCCAGTGGGTGTTAACATAACTAGCTGTTGTAGCCAACCCATTATTAAAATACATATATAAACAACTGTATAATCAAGTATCTTCAAAATCTTAAGCTGGAGCCAATCTACAAAAAGGAATGAAATGAGATGGTTTCATTAAGTCCTTTTGGAGACACTGTATCAAGTTCATAAATCCAAAAGGCTTCTTTGTTGAGCAACATTTTCCCATGGTCACCTCCTGCTGGACAGGGAACATGGTCTTTTCCCACGAATTTCAGCGATGATAAAGGATATAACAGCTCCAAAAAGGGTTTGGCCACTGGCTTGTCAAATGTACCATCTCTGTACGCCAACCTTATACTGGAACGGTGTCCTCTAATTCTTTTGCATAGGGGAGTCTCTGTTTTTCCGATATATAGGCCACATGGACATGTCAATTTGTATATTATGTGTGTAATTTTACACATGATGGTGTATCTAATTGAATATTTATTTTTGGTGTGTGGATGAGAAAAAGGTTTTTGATGGTGTCATGTGTCTGCATGTGACACATCCTAAACATCTCACACAACCCCGATTTTGAACTTTGTTCTTCTGTTGATAACTAGTGACAGGTTCCTCTTGTAACAGATCAGGGGTGCCTCTT